TCGTGGCTCCAGTGGAGAGAAATAAAGAAGCGCGGGGGATGGTGCGGGAGACCCTCATTATTGTCGGCAGCTGAAAACGCTGGGCCTAAGTTCCTCCTCCTCCCTTCAGTCCCAGAGCCCACAAATGCGTGTTGGCTTTCGTTTCTGTTCTTTTCACTGTGAAAGTGGAAAGTTGTAAGTTGTGTTGTGCACGTCGGGCCAGGCCCCTCATTTTCCAGGTGGTAGAACATAGCCTCAAAAAAGTCAAGGGACTTGGCGGAGCTCCCAAAAGCCTACTGGAGTTTCAACCCCTTGGTCGCTGTCGACCTGAGGGGGATGCTTCATTTGTGAGGTAATCAAAGAGTAAAATTGCATCGACCCGTTACTTAGGAAGGACCATTTAAGTGGGGCTTTCCGGGCTGGAAAAGGGGCTTTTTAAAAAGTTGTTAGGGGACAGGGCTTTCTCAGCAGCTGCCATTGCCCACCCAAGAGTGAAGGAAAATAGCTACTTAAGGAGACTAAAAAAAAAAAAGCCCCCAAACAACATTTTGAAGTTTAGTTCATCACCTTAGGAGCAGATAAATGGAACCAGAGAAAGCACGGAGAAGGTCGCCTCCTAGCAGCCTGGCGCCCAGCTCTTCCCAGCCAGCCGGGCCTTGCGCCTTCCCCAGGCAGCGGGTCGGCTGGCCTGGCCTCCTGGGGGTGGAGAGAGCACCACTGAGGCACCCGCTTCAGGAGCAAATACAGCCTGAGCTTCTGGGGTGGAAGAGTGTCGGGTAGCCCAGCATAGGATGAGTGCGTGGAGGCCAGTAACGTGCGCTCAGACCTTTCCTTGGTTTGTGATTTTAAACTTTGCCAGGAAGTTACATTAAAGGATAGTGTTAGGTAAATTGACAGCGATGCTGAGCACCAGCATTTAATAAAAACGAACATTATCTAAGCGAAGGCCTCCTGTTTGGTCACCTATTTACATTCAGTAAATCTGAAATGACATTGTTAGGTTGATCAGTCGGCCTTTGTTAGAATCACTAACATAATGTTGATTTGATTGTGAAGAAAGTTCTGATCGCTACATTATGCCATGTGTACTGCTCACTTTTTTGCCCAAATTTTTTAGAGAAAAATACTGATGCGCATTAGACATGGGGGTAATGATTACATATCATGGGCATGATAATGGGTATGATAATCCCATGTATGATGCACACAAAACCACGGATGCACATTATACATGGCAAACACAAGCAAATGTTTCTTTCGGCACCACTTAAAAGTACAGCTAGAAACTCACTAGGTCCATTTCTTTCTACATTGGCATCTCCAGTGCTTTAAACGAAAGCCAACAGATTGAACAAGGAAGTAACTAAGTGAAAGTAGGTTAACTTTGGTTTGGTAGGGAATGTAGAGCAGGGCATGGAAAAATTCATATTTTGCAACTGGAAAAAATCTGATTTTATACTAAAAAAAGAACAAATGCAGAGTATTTTAGAAGTACCTTGGTTTTTCATTTGTTTCATGTAATCATTTATTTTTAACTGAATATAGAATCAAAAGAGCTTATTTTCATTTTGTATGTATAAAATGTGACTTAGAAGGGGCTCCTTATTATGACAGAAAACGTTTACTATGTTACTGTCTTTTTCAGACAGTAGCTGGAACTGACAGGTGTTTGTATATTTTCTTCTCTGAATATGCTTTGGGTCCTCAGATACCAGAAAAATAGCCTGGCTTGTGTGTTCTTGGTTGTGTAGTGTCGGAGGTCTTACCTCATTTTCATAAGCAGCATCCTAGATAGTGTGCTGAGAACAATACCATTGTTTAGGAAATGGGCACAATCGTATTTACCAGCAACACGTTCAGTCTTGTAATGACAACCTGAAAAATTAAGCTAAACAATCCATAAGATTTCTTGCACATCTGTCATTTGATGCTGTGAAACATATAAGTGTTGGTGGCTCATTTTGGAATGACCTTGACCTTGGAGCTGTCACCATCCTTTAGAGGGCACTGGCATTCAGGGGCATGACCTCCTATTGCATCCTCTGAATAGAAACTGCCCTCCCAGCTTTGCCATCTGCATGGAACCAGGTAGACTGCCGAGAGGGATCCGCCTGTGCCCTTTCCCCGAGTCTGGCAGCCGTCCTGCGCAGGCCTGTCGTTCCTGGGCTCGAGGTCACAAGGCACAGAGATGCCAGCCACTGCCGCCGTGGCTGCGGTCAGTAGTGGCTGGCTGGACGAGGCTAATGAAGCCTCCTCTGTATGCATGTTTTGAGTTGATAGAATCCACAAGCATGCCGTTGAAATGCTCCTGGGGTCAGTCTGTTGATTCTGGGTTCCTTGGCAATCCAGGAAATACTGGCAGGCTTGTGGGAAATAAAGCCTGTGCAGGATTTGCGTTCTGAACACTAGCTGGATGGATTTCATAACTGCCTGCTACTCTTTTAATAAAGTGCTTGGAAGTTGCACTCTCTTCTTTGAATTGCATTCTTATCTATTGGAAATATAATTTCACCTGGTATTTACAATTTTTGTCTAAAGGAAGCCCTGATAAAAGAAAAATGCCCATGATAACCCTTGCAGTCAGTGTGTAATATCTTGTAGTTCCAACTTACTCTTCCTGAAGCACTTTTCTTAGGCTTAAAACACATATTATAATTACTTTTAAATTATTGTGTTTTTGTGTTCCCAGCCCCTATCTACTTTCAAAAAATAATGTTTACCTTTTACGTTTTGAAATTGTGCCTTATTTCAAGTCTGTATTGAGCTACCAGCAGTCATAAGGTTTGCTGCACACCCATGGCTTCATTTTTTCTTTACAGTGAAGGAATACACTGAATATACTATAATTACAGTAAAAAATGTCATTGAGCCCTTCATGCAAATCTGATGGGCAGGTGGACCGAGGCACAGATGTTACTTATGTAGCTCCAAATTCTTTTCAGTCTTAAAATATGAGATCCCTGTTTTCTGCACGCTGTTGGCCTCATGCCCAGAAGCACATTCCATTTACTGTATCCATTCTTGGAGGTTGAGATGTCTTGAAGCTGTCATTGGACCTTTTTTAGGAGTGAATTTTCAAATATGTGTTTTAAAATGTGTACTAAGAGCCCGTGGTATAAACAACTCAGCAGCTTCATGTCTGCCTTAAAGTCAGACAGTGAGTGTGGCACTACCTTCTAATGGCAGAATAATAGTGAATTCTCTCTCTCTGTCTGTCTCTGGAAAGAAAAGTGATGTACTAAAGCAGACTGGTTAGAAAGCAATGGAATCTTCTTAGCTGTGCCGCCGAACTGCGTACAACTAGGTGGGAGCTGCCTCAGGTTACAGTTCATGCATGGGGACACACATGCACTGTATGTTTGCCACTCGTATGTTAAACACAGGCATCACTGAGCGTTGGCGACCGTGCATGATTATCACCCCTGAGCAGGTGAGGAAGCTGCAGCTCAGAGACTGTAAGGAACTTGCCTAGGAGCACACAGCTAGACCCTGCGTTCATGTGTAGTGGGGAGACAAGAGAGCTGAGGTGGACTGAGGAACTGAGCTCGTAGGCAATACCAATGGATCCAGTACCACTTCCTCTGATGGTGCGACCCCAGGTGACTAGCAGAGTGGCAGCGTTGACACAAAGTGTCAGAAACGAACTAGAAAAAGGTAGCCAACCTTTTACTTTGACCAGGTAGCTTTCACCTGGGCACCCCCTGCAAGGCTGGGCCTCCATGCCCCGCCCCGCCCTCCCCATGAACACCCACTTCTGCTCTCAGCAAGGGTCTTTACAGCAGCCCACCAGAGATTTATTCGGTTCACAAGCCATTTTATTACATGCACTGCTAACATCGCTATGCCTGTGCAGAGAGGACCCTTCAGACCCTCAGCCTCAGAAGGTACTGGTTTGGAGTGATGGAGCACAAGTCCCGTTGTCCCTGGACTGGGGCCTGGGGCCCGACTGCCCCTCCTAGGTATGTGGCAGTGCCACCGACCTCTCCATAGTGCAGGGAACAGAGGGCCGGGAATCCTCTTCATGGCCATTGACCTCACACAGAGGCCCCTTCTATTTCACCTTAACTCTGTGCTTCCAGATGGCCCTCTAGACCACTGTCCCAGCTGTGCCTGCCCAGTGAGTGTGCTGCTTCAGTCCCAAATCGCCTTGATCCATATGCAGTTACCATATTCACCTCAATGCAAGTTCAGGGCAGCCTTCAGCACTTTGGCAGCATATTAACAAGTATATTTAAATATTTAAGTAATATCTTTCAGTTTTTAGCCAAAAACGTCACTGACTTAGTTTTTTGCTAGTTATTTCCCCCAGTCAGAAAGCGACAAAGTGTGCATTTGATGTTGTGTTGCTGCCAGTGTTTTCTCCAGCCCCAGCGCCAAGGAGCTGCTCAGTCCCAGCTGGGAACTAAAATCACCAGGGTGTGTGTCTGTGTTTTTACTCCTCTGTCGTGTGGTGGATTTCAACAACAACTTAAGTGATCAAATCCGTAGGGTGTTTACCTCTCACAACAGCTTAGTTTATAGAATAAACCCTCAAAGACCAGGACAGAGGTATTTAAGTGTTTTGCTTTCTTGGTTTTATTGATATGTTTCAAGTCTTCTAAAGGAGAGATAGGAGAACGTTAACTCTGTAGTTAAACTTGAACTGCCTGAGTTGTGAAGCTCTGAGTCTTATGAAAATGTTAACTTGGTCCTGTGTGGCTTGATAACCACCGTCATTCATAGTCAGTTTTGGTGGCGTCATCATGCATAAAGTGAGGTGAGGTTCAAATCACCCATCCTTGCTTATAACGTTTATACATATATTTGCAGATATGTGAAAGAGCTGATTAAAACTGTGTTGGAAAGCTGATAGAAGATGTAATTCTCAAGTGTGTTAGATTAGTATTCAGTAGCTTCCATTTTTTTCTCCTTTGCTTTTTTTTAATAGAGTTGGGCAATGGCATGTGTCTTCCATAGATAACACTACCCTTGAACAAGGCAGGATGTGGTTTTGACGGCACGTGTACTTGTTCCCACTGTAGGTGCTGGACTGGATTGAGAACCACGGGGAAGCATTTCTGAGCAAACACACAGGTGTGGGGAAATCCCTTCATCGGGCCAGAGCTTTGCAGAAACGTCACGAGGATTTTGAAGAAGTAGCACAGGTAAAACAATGGCTTTGACTCTTTTCTCCCATAAGCCCCTATGTGCATGGTTTGAAATCACTTTTAACCACATCTGAGAAGAGTTAACCAGCCACACGTGTTTGAAGGTGACTCTTGAGAGACGATGCTCATATTTCAGAGTGAACCTGCCCGGCAGAGGCAAAAAGGAGATGTGGTCAGTTGGCCCTTTTGAAAAATGTAATGTTATTCAAACAGAAAAACATCTTGACTATTTTTGCCATATTTATTGTACCACTATTTGTTGACTAGTTTGCGAAGTTTCATTTCATAACCAGAGAATAGCAGTTCTTGCACTTTTGTAATGTCGGGCGGGCGTTTCTTGTCCTTTTCTCAGTTCCTTTAAATGTGAGTGCTCAGGAGACAGGGCAGAGGCTGAGGTGTTTTGTCATGTTCGAGGTTTGACTATAATGTTCTCTAGCTGTGTGACTTTGGAGAAGTCTCTTTAGCGTTTAAGGGTAAGTTTCTTACCTGAAGAATAGGCTCCTGGAGAGGAAGTAAAGTATGAGAAGAAAGGACCACCAGCATCAGTGAGCACAGATATTGGTAAATATGTTTGTAAATCTCAGTGGAGTGACCATGTAAACCAGGGGTGTCAAACTCATTTTCACCAGGGGCCACATCAGCCTCATGGTTGTCTTCAAAGGGCTGAATGTAATTTTAGGACTGTGTAAATATACTCCTTAACTAAAAGCAAGAAGCTCAGCCTTGTCTCCAGGTAGAAACAAGGTGGAGGACCGGATTTGGCTCACAGGCCTTGTGTTTGCCACCTGTGATTAAACAGAAGGCAGCGAACTTGGAGGTAGCTGCAAACAAAATGGAATGAAAGCACCAGACCACTCGAGCACAGGAGGTGGAGAGAGGTTCTGAGGGGTCAGGCAGGAGGTGCGGTTTGTCTCAGGTGTGCAAATCCAGGTGTGTATGTAAGCGTTTTTGAATTGACTACTCTAAGCTTAGGAATGGAAGTCACCTCAAAATAAGTATAAAGGAAAAGAAATACAGATGATTGGGTAAATAAAAGCTCACTAAATGGACCTGGTAGAAGCAAAAGAAATGAGAACAACAAAAATCATGATAGAAATCACAAATAAGGTGCAGTCATTTGTTCATAAGTATTTGTAATTACAGTAAACGCAAAACAGACTATAGTTGTTACCAAAGGTTTATCCGATTGAGTACTTTTTAAGAATCATGCTCTTTTTTTCCCCAAAGGACACATCTAAAATATAAATACCCAGGAAGTTTGAAAATATATAAAGTATTAGAAAAAGATCTACCAGGCAAATATAACAATAACCAACCCCCCCCAAACCCTAGCATAGAAAGAATAACAGTAAGCAACTAAACTTCAAAGCACGAAAACTTACTAGAAATGAAGAGGGTCTTCGGTTGTAACAGGGAGAGGGTCACTAGCCCTCTAACACTGTAGTCTCAAAATCTGTAAAACAAAGGGTAAACAGCAGCGACCTTGGCCCCCCATGTGGGTAGCTTTTATATGACAAAGGCTCAGTCACCCACTCAGTTACTCAGGGAACTGTAGGCTAGAATTGTGGGATAACAAAACACGCTGCACCTACGTCCTACTCAGTGACGGTGCCTTTAAAATGCTACCTTCTTTACATGGCTTCATGTGTAAAGTAAAGGTGAGCATCCCAACCCTTCTGCTTCTGAATCTCAAGCAACAGGTAAGAAAAGATCATGTTCAGCAGCCTCGCCGCACGTGGACGTTTCCTTTTTTTTTTTTTTTAATCTGCATTACATGCGGTCTCCTTCTCACACATCCTGGAAAATATTTGCCTTTTGCAGCAAAAGTATGTGGAAAATGTGCTCTTATCTCTCCCTTATTTTCTCTATAAGATAAGCTGCTGCCGTAGCCAGTGTGGCTCAAGGATGGGTGTGAAGTTCGTGTCCTATGAGCAAAGACTTCAGGCACCAAAGACCCTGAGAGGCAGGACTGCAAGCGCATTCACCCAGCAGCCTCTGCCTCACCTCCTGAGTGCGCTCTCACATAGGAAGGGCGGGGGTCTCCTGTGGGTCCTCGTGTGTGTCCAGCACCCCGTGGGCCCTCCTGCCTCCAGTTCCTGTGCTTCCTTCCATTCTAAGTGAGGGAAATCTCCTCTAGGGCTAATTTTGCCCTCTGTTTTCTTGGTCAGCTTGTTTCATGAGGTCCGAGGTGATTGATCATCAAAGCTGTCAGCGCAGGTTCTCGGGGGCAGCAAGAGCAAGAACACTGTAGGAAACGGCTCTGCCTGAAGGTCTCTAGGGCAAGCCAGGCGTAGCGCCCTGAGCCGTGGCCGGCTTCTCACCACTGGTTGGGAGAAAGGCAGGCGTCCGCCTGCTCCACACGCCACCCACCTGGGTTTCAGTCCTTCCCTGTCCTCTCTGCTCACTGCACCTGCGATTCTAAGGGGTGCCGGACTCACTCTTCCTTAAATTGAAAGGGCTCAAAAGCCTTAATCTGAGCTGTGCATGAAAAGAAACCTTAAACATGAACACCTTTTGCTTACTTTGCAAATTTCTGTGCCCACTTTCTTTCAAATAATCCACCTGTCATGTGTCAGGCATTCTGTCTGCCAGGCACTGGGGTGGAGGGTGGGCGGGTAGGTAGGCCAGGCCCTGACCTCTTGAATAGGTGTGGCCAGCTGTCAGAGGGCTTTCCCTGGTAGTTTTTGCTGGCTAAGCCAAGACCCGCAAATTAGTAACAGTCTGCTTGATGACAAAGAAGATGTGAAAGGCGGGCGTGGGGGACAGAGGTAGGACGTGGCCTGGAAGGCTGGGGGGTGGACTCCAGGGAGCCTCCTCTCTCTGCAGGCCTCTCTCCTTTGCAGACCCACCATCGGGAGCAGGTTCAGAGTGCTCAGCCCGCACCTGGCCTCACCGCATTTCCTCGCTTTTTCATGGCTAGCGGCTAGCGCTCCCTCTCTGCTTGCACTCTCCTCCCACCTCGCTGCCCAGACCTGGACCCTGCAGTTGGCCCCTTTCTTTTCCCAGGCTCTTCAGCTTCTCCCGCTCTTAGTTCTTTTCTTTCCAGCATTAAATGTTTACAGACCGTCCCCTCTCTTGAAGAACGGCACTTGATCATGCCCTGTTTCTTTGATGCTACCTTCCTCTGCCTGCTCATTGCCCACTGTTGCCAGCAGCCCGGCACGCAGCAGGCCCTCAGTGATCGCCACGGCTCATTGTAGACATTCAGAAATCTATCACAGTTGACCCAGCCGCTAATGTAATTTCTCTCCACTGGCATCACAGTGAAAAGCCCTGATCCCATCCTCCCACAATCTGTGGACACTTCTGTGTGAAAGGCTGCAGGAGGCCACTGACAGAGCTCAGGACTCTGGCCGCTCCAGCCAGGAGCCCGACGGCCTTGCACATCACAGAGAATACCTCTGAACCACTCCAGGTGGCTCTGGGAGGGGTTTGCTGTGCCTTGGAGCGCACCATCAGGCCGTGTAGGCGGAGGGGCCGCTCTCCATGACCGGAGCTAGCCACAGATTAAATGTAGTGAGGTGGGGAGGGAGCCATAAGACCTGAAAAACAGGGTGGACTTCTCTCCAGCCTCTGTACCTGGTTTAATAAAGACTGTTTACGCTTGTGTTTGTAGCTTCATTTATTGACAACTCTCTAGCTTGTCCCAGTCAACAGAATGACCAGAGTCTCACTGTAGCAGAGGCCTGATGAGGCCCATGGGCATGAATCACTCCCTTCTCCAAATTTCCTTCTCCGCCCTCCGTGTGTCTGACTGCTTTCTGTCAAAGCAAATTATAATAGAAGGGGCTATGGCAGAGATTTAAGTTCTTATTTTAGGTCTGTATATTCTCTTGACAGTAGAGCCTTTGGAGGCACCTTAAAAATGGAAACAGGTATTTTGGTGCTTGCTTAATAAAGAGCTAATTTTATTTTCTGAAACCTATTCACAAAGATAAAGCAAATGTTGGTTTTAGGGAAAAGGAATGTCCTTTAATAGTTAAGGTTAAAGTTGTTTAGTTTGTTTCTTGTGATTGTGTTTTGAAGGATCCTTTGTAAAATACATTCTAAATTGTTTTTAGTTTTAAGGTCTTGAATTAGCAATTTATTTAATAGTTTTTCTTTATAATCAGCTTCTTCAAAGTAGTGAGTTGCAGCATGATGAAGTAAGTAACACAACAGGTTCAGAGAGGAAGTGGCGAAAGTCTTCTGGTTGAATTCCTTTGAAATGCACTAAATATAGATTTACCACGTAGAACAGTTCTAGTGTTCTAGGAAGGAGCAACCCGAAAGGACTCTCCTGTTTGTTTGCGTGGTGGAAGCCGGCTGTAGAGCCAGGCATGGGCTTCTGTTGTGGGGCCCGGCTTAAGGCTTTGTTTCCAAGGCAGCAGGAGCCACGTGAGGAAGCACTTGCATCATTTTTGCACAGTTTTGCAGAGCCAAAGACCACCCGCACCAACCTGAAGATCCTTTCCTTCTTTATTTGGTACAGGAATTATGAGTAGATACATCCTGTTGAATGAATCTGTGCTAATGAATTTATATTGTGGCATACACAGCCATGTTGGATTTTCATGCAGGGGCTTAAAAAAATTAAAATGCTTTCCATGTGAAGCTTTTTGCAGATGACTGGCGGAAAGGAAGATGTTCTTTGACAGTCATCTATGTCCATGTTCCCTTTTAGAGGGAAGAAGCCTTGAATACAAAAGCCAGTAAAGCCCAGAAAACTCTGGTTCAAGAAAGACACTGGTTTTGAGAGCGTGGATTTCTTTAAGATGATTGATTAGTGAGTTGCTGGCAGCGTGTGTTCCCATAGCTGCCTACTCTCTGAGTTCTCCCACTGCCTTCTCTCCTGCCCGCTTGTTCCTGGGGATTCAGATTACCTTCCAAAGACATAACCTGTCAGGGAGTCATTCTCCATGAAGCCACTTCTGTCAACAGCATTTTATAAGTGCCATGTAATTATCTTGTCTCCCAGGACAAAGAAGTGTGGGATTTCGAAAGCAGGAAACCTTACCTTTGATTCTAGATTTTCAGAAGATAAGCAGCGAATTCTCCCACTCCCTGGTCCTGCTGAACTCCTCTGCTTCTGTAAGGAGGGTCCTGGAGGGGTAGGCTGGTGGCCATAGAGAATGCGGCCACGTTTGTAGCACAGCTTAAATTCAGGCTGTGAAATGCTTGTGTTTTTCTCCTGTCCGGTTTATTTTAAGATCAGGAAACCCATCTTTTCCACCAGGCTCCTACCCTAGCCTCTGGCCGTCTTGGGGCTTTACCTCCCCAGGACGCTAGGAAGAGGAAGGTCTGGCCCGCCTTTGAAAGGCTCCCTGTTTCCTGACTCCTAGCAGTTACACAATTTTAATTCTCAAGAAAAGAGGAAACGGTCGGGCCCCCACCCTGCCCTGGCCTTTACTTTGTCTCCTTTAATCCTCCTGGCGGCGGGTTATTACTCACTCGCAGCCATGGAGAGACTGGAGAGATGCCCCCCAGACAGGACTGCAGGTAGGAGAGGGGAGAAGTCCAGTCCCTGCAGACCGAAACTGGCTTTCTTACCTGACACCCCTCCTGTCTCTGCGTCTAAACATAAATGACTAAGTTTTCCCTCGTAAGAGGAACCCCGGCCCAGGCGTTTGCTGAGTGAATACCCTTAGCTCCGCTGATGGCCGAGGGCTAACTACTCTACCTCTCTGTGCCTTGGTTTCCTCCCTTGTGATGTGGGAATGAAATACTGTCCAGTCTCAGGCTGTTGTGGGGCCCGGGGTAGGAGGTGCTCTGAAGTTAGCATTTGTGGTCCACATGGTTACTGACACAGGGACCTCTCTTGGTACAAGATGGAGGCAGGTTCTGTTTGTGGGAAAGTGTGCAGGGGGGGCCATGAGCCCTTGGTGCTGGCTCATTTCAAGTGTAAAATGAGCAGTGGGGCTAATGGATGCTGTTTAGCAGCCCAGATAATCTACCAAGGCATTTGTTCCTTTGGACATTTATTCTTGCAGATGTCTTTACCTGCTAGCAAAGAGGTGGGACGCTTTCTTTCAGAACCATAATATTTAGCTGCTGGTGTCACCTAGAGATTCACTCTAGGGGAAAACAGCCTCACGGCTGCAGTGACAATAAGAAAAAGGGTTCAGCTCTTAAAAATGGGTGTGTGTGCAGCATAAAGCAGGATACCCCGGGAGCTGTGCCTCTGCTGGGAGCAGCAGGGCGTGGGTCCTGCGTGAGGCCCTGCAGGGGAAGCGTGGGTCTCCAGAAGCCCCTGGTCCCCGGAAGTCACGTCACGGTGCAGCCTCCGGTGATGGGAGGAGCTTCGTGGGCAGCAAGTGTGCGGAGCCTCTGTGGCAGGATCCCTGGGTGCAGGCGGCCGCCCCTAGGACAGCTCGCTCTGTGCCGAGAGTCTGCACTGAGCTGCCTGAGCGCTAGCGTCTCCCAGAGGACTGGGGATGTGCACCGACCACACACACACACACACACACATGTTTTTATATACCCTTCTTTAGAACAGTTTTAGATTTACAGAAAAAGCGTGACAACGACATAGAAAAGTCTCCATACCCCGTCCCCAGTTTCCTCTCATATTATCATCTTTCTTAGTACGGTGCATTTGTTACATTTAATGAACCAGTATCGCTCTATCGTTATTACCTCAAGTCCATAATTTGTTTAGGTTTCCCTCATCTCCTCCTCTTCCAGGATCGCACCCAGGGTACTGCATTCTCTTTATTTGTCAAGGCTCCTTAGGTTCCTGTGGCTCCTAAGTTTCTGTCATTATCTTATTGTCGTTAAAGGCAGGCATCCCTTCCCTCGTCATTACCACATTAGTCTAATCCTCAGTCATAGACCGTCTCCTCCCCGATTCATCCCATAAGGTGACGGAGTGATCCTTCCTCTCTGGCCTGAGGCTCAGGGTCACAAAGTCAGTGACAGGACTGGTCTGGGAACACAGGCCTCTGATGGGAGAGTCTTCGTCCAGCCTTGTCACTTTGCTTCCCCATGGTGGTTTGATAGTCTGCATTGGAGGGCTGCTTCTTGTCACGGTCATCGTTGGCAGGTGGCCAGACTGCACCGTAGGGCATGTGGACGGCTAGAAAGAATTGCATGGGGTGGAGGGCAGGCATTTACGTAACACACTTCTGTTGTTACAGAGCTCTTCTAAAGCGGGCTGTGTCACTGTTTCTGCTTCACGTAGGACTTATTGTAGCTTAGCTTTTGAATATGTCACCCTGAGTGGCAGAAAACCCAACAGAGTATATAAAACAGTGCTCTTAAAAGTCCTGCAGTTAGATTGGGGAACGGACTGTGCTTTTCAGACTATTTCAAATAATTGGATTCCAAAGAACATGTAAAATGTACACAAGCATTTTTCAAGTCTGGCCATAACTAGTAAATTTTAAGGGATTCTTTGACATCTCTTCCATCATTTCTTTCTAAAAAGAGTTCTGAGAGACCCTTTGCTCACAGTGCAGAGTATCCCCCATGAGACTTTGGGTAGTGCCAGCAATGAAAAGACCCCCGAAAATGGTTTCTCAGACAGACGGGGGAGGAGATGACCGTGAGCCCTGCCTTGCAGCAGTGAGTGGGCAGGGCGGTGTGAAACTGTGCGTGGAGCAGCCCCAGGTGCCAGATGACACACCGCGCGGCCTAAGCCCGGGCTCCGGAGTCCTGATTCCAGGGCCTGCCAGCCTCGTCCCCTGCACCCAGTGGCTGCCCTCCCGGTCTCAGTTTCCTTACCTGTTGTAAGAGGGCTGTGGTTGGGACTGGACGGCCCGGAGCAAGGGTGGCACTCACATCTGATGCACAGTACGTGTTGGTGACCGTGCAATTCGGGGTGGTGATGAAGAGAGCAGGCTGACATTTGGCTGGTCTTTGTCATCCCTTTAGACTCTGCTGACACTATCCATCCCCATTTTCACCTGCACTTTGTGTGCCCAGGGCACCCTGACGCACTGGGTGTTCGAGCTCTGCACACGCGTGTCGGTGCCACTGAGGGCATCCCCGGACACCCAGCATGCTGTGTGTTACAGCTGTTTACACATGTTTTACACCGGCAGGAAAAGTGGAAGCACGGCACAAAGAGCTTGCTTTGCCCTGAACCGTGTACTTCCTGTCTAAGGGGGCCTTCTGCCACATCACCAGATTCCACCCTCGGAGTCAGCAAGTGAACACTGATACCTGGCGGCCCTGTAGCCCTCAGGGCCCGCGAGGCCCTTCACAGGTGAAGGTCCAGTGAAGACTCACCCGAGACCGTTGCCACGTCCCCAAGGTCCTTGAGCCTGGAGCGGTCTTTGTTCAAGCCCGCTATTTTGGAGACAGTTCCTCCCCTTGGGTTTGTGTGATGTGTCCTCATGATTAGACTCTGGTGGTTATTTGTCTTCATCAGGGGTGTCCCGGGAGTGCAGCTGTGTCCTTCTCAGGCCACCTCATCAGGGGGCATGTGATTTTCGTTTGTCCTGTGACAGCTGGTTCCCTTTGTCCCTGGGTCAAGACTATGAGCCTGCCGGACTTCTCCCCTGTAAAGTGTTTCCGCCTTGTGATTAGTAAGTCCTGTGTGCGGAGGCGCTTTGAAGTTCCGCAGACTCCCATTCCTCACCGAGTTTTATTTATGTGTGTCAGAAGAGACCCGCAGCTCCCTCTTGTATTGGGTGGGTCACACGGTCCCTGTTACTTTTCACTCTCATTGTCCCTGCTCGGGCCAGCAGGGGCCTCCTGAAGCTGACCTCCGTGTCCGGACCCATCCACGTGGTTCTGGAGCATTTCCCTGCCTTTGGTCCAGGGGAATGTTTCAGGGTCATCATGCACTTTGTGCCATTCCAGCCCTGGAATTGACCGTTTCCCTTCCTCATTCACAACACCTCCAGTTCTAGTCCCGCGCACGCAGTTAACGCAGGTTTCTCCTCTTCCGAGTCTGTGACTCTGTGCTCCAAAGTGAGGGACCTGCCTCTCATTGTCCTGAGTGTTTAGACTTAGTAGCTTCATGCCCCCCGCTGCAGGGGGGTGCCCTTGTCCCCCATCAGGCTTGGTCTCCCCACAGGGACAGCCTCCCACACACAGGGCACCGCCAACCCTCACTGAGGAGTCACCAACCTTGCTCAGCCTCAGGACTGAAATACTGGGGCGGGGGGGGGACAGTGGGAGCATGAGGGGCTCAGCCCGTTTTCCACTGGGGGGACCACAAGGTTCCCAGGATTTCTTAGAAGTTCTCCACCTGCTCCGACCTCACCCCTCCCCATCAGCGAGTCTTTCACACTTTGCAGGATCAGGGCTCCGTCCCACCTGTTTATTTCAGGGACCCGTGTGCAGCCTCCCTGAGTGAGAGTTAAAACTGGGCTGATCTTCAGGGTATTTGAGACCCCTGTTTCCCTAACCTCCCACTCTTTTCAACTCCTACTACTTTATAGCCACTGTAGCCATTATTTTCTTTTTCTCAAAAAAAGATGTGCCCTTAAGTAGAAAAAAGATAAGCACAGAATGACCGGGAAGTAGAAAGGGACAGTGACTTATGCTTGTGTGTAAGTGAGCCTTCCCACTTTCACTTGGAATGGTCGTGAGGTGGTGGTCTGTCATAGTGAAAGACACAGAACTGGAACTCTCCACTGCCACACAAGCGGGAGAAAAAGTGAAGCGAGCCCTTGTGGCTCCACGCTGTTTTCTGGCTGTGCAGAGAGCTCAGAGAGCTCTGCACGAGTCGAGAGAGAGCCAGCAACTGCCTGCAGATATCCCCTCACTGCTGGAGACGGAAGGGCCGGTCACGAGGTTCGAGGTTTAACAATCTACGACAGGCAGCGCAAAGCTGCTGATAGACATGTAGTAAACTCCCGAAATCAGCTTTCGCATCTTGCGTGTTCTCGATTTGCGGAAATGATCAGGAGTAGCACAGACGGACTCCGACGCGGCGTTGTGGCTCCCAGCCTGGCTGGTTTGGGTTTTGTTCACCTTGTGCTTTTCTGGCTGTTCTCTTGTGCAGAACACATATACCAATGCGGACAAGTTGCTAGAAGCTGCAGAGCAGCTGGCTCAGACTGGGGAATGTGACCCAGAAGAGATTTATCAGGCTGCCCACCAGCTCGAAGACCGGATACAAGACTTTGTTCGGCGGGTCGAGCAACGGAAGATCCTCCTGGACATGTCTGTGTCCTTTCACACCCACGTAAAAGAGGTAAGACAATGGGGGATGAAGATGTAGCCTATGACTGCGGGATCTTTGAGCTCGTTGGAAGGGATGCAGCTTGGTCGTGGCATGAGAGAGTGGACCAAAGGTGGCTGGTGCTGATGCACAGCCTGCTCCCACGGTGCTGGTCAGCGTGGACGAGCACTGAGCTGGACTTCCTGCAGGCCTGCCTTACAGCACACACACGTGTGCCTTTGCTGGGGGTGGCGGAAGCCTGGGTGTCTTTCCGTGGCAGACCCGTGAGGGCTGGGTGTCTGGGTACAGGTGTGGATGAGGAGGCGAGCTAAGGAGAGCCCTTCACTCGGAGAGAGACAACGTGCGCCCATTTTAGCATAAATAGACGACCCGCGCATTGTGGTCAGAGCTGTCGGGTTTCCTTTCTGTGTGTTAGCTCGTCATGTGGCTGAAGTCACAGTTGCTGTCTGATTGTATCAGACTATGGGACACTGTCAGATACTAGTGAAAGTGGATTTCACAGAACACTGAATGTGCCAAAGCCAGGACGAAGACATCAGCATTAATTAAGAACACCCTGGCTTCGGTGACGTCTGCTCAGTGTTAGCTTGGGACTCCCCTTTAAGACTTACTCCTGGAAGAAGGCTGGGCCTGCGAGGCTCGTCCAGGCAGGCACGTCCTCCTGTGCAGCATGCGGAGATCTCTGGACCCCTTTGCTTTCTCACCCCCAGAGGACAGTGGACAGAATACTTACTTGTTTCTGGGAAGTGAGAGAAAAGGAAACGTTTCCATGGAGAAGGCAAATACGTTATACCTTGAGGTCGCACGCAGGAGGGGGTTGACCGAGGTGCCCGCCTCCATCTCACCCCTAAGCTCAGGTGTGGAAGCATGTGGGACCCCATCCGGCTCCTTTTTTCTCTGGAAGGAGTTCATAACATGCTCAACCTCCTAGAAGATGAAGACTGGTACTATGCCTTTAAAAAAAATGTTTTTGAAATCGCATTTAAAACAACTGTTGATTAGTCTAACATAAATTCAGATTTTGTTTTGGGAGAGCTTTTGTCTCCTCTGTTTGTTTTGCATCTCCCAGACTCTGTTTCCTTCAGGGTTGTTTGTAGTGTTTTATTCACATCGTTTCCGATTGGAGTGGTCCCATTATTGGGCTTTTATTAGGAGGCTCTCCGCCTTTCCTTTTAAGTGCATTTTCCGCTGCCATTCATTTATTCGTTCTTTCATTCTTTTACGTATTCATTCCAAAGCATCTCCTAAGGCAGCTGTAGTGTTTGAGGAGGTGATACACGAGTGAGCGACAGTGGAGAACCTACTCCTTCTTCTGCGTACGTCACATCTGTTAGACGTCCATCTGTTAGTTTCCCCTGGTAGATGTCAAGGTCCTTGAAGACCGGAACTGCGTCTCACCTCGTACCCGCCGGTTAGCCTCCCTGCCACACTCAGGAGATACTCAAATGCATGTAGAATAATGGTGTCTATTTCTAGCATATGTTCTGAGAGACGTATTTCCATTTTCAAATATAGCAAAAACATAATCGTTTTCATTCATTGACACTCATTTCACTTCCTTCTCAAAATGATGCCCCGAGTTAACTGATAATTACCTTTGAGGTCTGCGGGTTATTTGAGGCCTCGGGTGGTCCCGTGGAGGTCTCCACCAGCATCCACTTCTGGGACTGAGTCAGTGGCCCTGAGTCGGTTTTTGTTCACTGCATTCCCAGCAGCTGTGGTTTCCCAGGAAGGATCTTTCTCGTTTGAATTGGGCTGTGATTCCTGCTGGGCTTAAGTGAAGAGGCCTTTTGGTTCTACTTCTGCAAACTTACACACTGAACTGGGACAAGTTTTTGTTTGGGGTAAGGCCTGGGAAAACAGGAACCTTTCATTTTATTCAGAAGTCAAAAATAAAGACCTCCCAGCCACCTGGAGATTTTTTGGTCCTTCATACCAGTCTGGCTTCATTTTTATGCCTCACACTTGAGCAAACAGACTTTCTTCTTTATACTCAGCCAGTGCTCACTCTCGCTGGGGAGCGGGGAGAAGCCTTCCTGGCCCTCACCCTGTGGTCAGAAGAGGGTCACTAGGAAGCTGGAGCTCTCTTCACCTCTGGGGGGGGGCTGAGCACTGGGAGCTGCCCTTTCTCACAGCCTCACCTAGTTTGCTCCAGGAGTCTGCTGAAAACATACCCCTTGTTTTCTCAACTAGACACTGGTCTTAAAGGGTCCAGATTTCTTTTCCCTCCTGTCCTTTCTGGAGCTGGAGAACCAATCAGATATGTGGTGGTTCACCTAATTCAAGAAAATTGATGAAGGAAAAAAAAATATATATATATATATGTATATATCCTGGAGTAGACTGGCTGCCCTCCAGTGTATTTCGGTAATCATCAGCAAAGCCTGTTCACTGCAGAGAGGCCTGTTTCTGTTCTGCACGGGAACAGGTTTGTCCTCTGAGCGATCCCGGCCTCCCGAGCATCGAATTCCCCCAGCCCCCTTCTGTCCCCCATGCAGAGTCCCCTAGAATTCGGCTCCCCGCACTCAAGCCTTCGCTTTGGCTGTCTTGCAGTCTCATTGCTGTTGACTCATCTGCCTGTACATAGTCTTTAAAATGATTGCTTGTTTCCTTTGTTCCTATTTCTACCCCACATCTATGCCTCCAAAGATAGATGTGATATCTTTAAACGTGACTTCCCAGCTTTTTTTTAAAGAAAGTTTTATTTGAAATAATTATAGGTTCACTGGAAATTTGGCGGGGGGTGGGGTGGGGAATCAAACCAGAAGTCCGTGTACCACCCTGCAGCCTCCCCCAGTGGTCACATCGTACACAGTCACACACGTTAACACAGCAGGAAAGAGGTGACTGTTACACTCCCCAGAGATACTCCAGTTTCCCCACGTGTGCTGCGCCCTCATGCACGTGTGTAGCCCGATGCAGTTTTATCCCGTGTAGATTCCTCTAATAACCACCGCTGGAAATGGACGGAGTCGTACAGAATTGTCCCATCACCCCCTTGGGCTGCCCCCTCGTATCCATGCCCAGCCCCTGCTCCGTCTCTAACTCCTGGCAACCACTAGTCCATTGTCCTCTGTCTCTCAAATTTTGTTAGTTCACACAGTGTTAAACAAATGGAATCGCACAATATGTAACTTTTTGAGACCATCCTCTTTTATGTAGCATAATTTCCTTGTGACCTTGTCCTTGTATATATCAGTCAGTAGTTTTTTCCTCTTTATTGCTGTGTAACATTTCATAGTATAGAAGTAACATGATCTGTATAGCCATTTACCTTTTGAAGGACAGTTGAGTTCCATGTTTTCTGTTTTCTGCTGTTAGGAAAGGAGAAGCTATAGACATTTATGTATGTGGGCTTTGCATAGACTGATTTTCCATTTCTCTGGGACAGAGGCCCATGAGTGCAATCACTGGGCCCTTTGTAAGTGCATGTTGCTCTAAAAGGAAGTGCCAAACTTTTCCAGAATGGTTGTACCATTTTACACTCCCCTCAGCAATGCGTGAGTGCTCTCCAGCTTTCTCACATCTCAGAACTCCAGGATTGCTTTGATAAATTCGTCACAGGGAAAGGTTAATATCCAACACATAATATTTTGGGATATTTGCTTTATATGATCAGATCTCAGTCGTTATGTTTTCACATTCGATTCCTTAGCTGAACTTTTTACATGTACCGGCACTCTTCAACGTTTGGTTTGTTTATCTGATGTAGATACAAACAGGCAATTAAATGGTCTCAGTCCAGAGAAAGCAAGAGGAAACTAGGTCCGCAGAACCATCCACTGCGTCATCAGCCTGTGCATGATGGGACCTTAGTTTGACTTCAGGCATTCCGTTGCTGCCTGCTAGTTTATTAGCACTTTGTATTTGCATGGACTGTGGTATCTGCTGTTTAAAAAATAGTAATTATAAGAGGTGGTCCTCCCATGGATGAGAATATAAAACAGATCTAATCATATATGATTCTTTTTATACAAAAATACAGTCTTTATTACAATAACTAAAGTATATTATGGCACTCATTATCCCCTTCCTTAGCTGGCTGAGTGGCCTGAGACATATCACTCTGTGCGGCCTTGGCTTTCTACAGAGTGGGAATAATGAACTGTCCGAGGGACGGGTGCAACTGAGTGAAACTAGAGATGTAAAATGCCACAGTGCTTGTCCCATTCATTGTAGCTGCCATTTTCCCCTCCCACCCCCACTGTAACTCAACATCAACAGAGTGATAGCGACTTAAGTATAAATTACAAAGGTATAAATACCTGGGCATAATCTGCTGTTTTCCTCACTCACCTTCGATCAACAAGAACTACTTACTCTGCTTCTGGTGCCCCCTCGCAGAGCAGGCCCCTCACTGACCTTTTTCATGAGGTTGAAAGTCAGGGCCCTGTGGGATATGCGCGGTCCAGGCTCTGGCTCCGGCTCGGCCCTTCAGGACAGAGCAGGCTGCTGCGAAGCGTCTGTACTCGCAGCTCCATTCGTATGGGCACAGGTTATCTCTGAGTACACATCACTAGAGACTTTTGCTTCCAGCCAAAGCTGTAAAATAGATGAATGCCTTTTCCTCCACTGAATCAGTACATGTAAAACATTCGTGTTGGCCAATGGGAAAACAGGGACGTTATTATCTAAAAGGAAAGTCCTTTTGTCAGAACAGTGTAATTAATTCATGTAAGATATTTATGTTTCTCTATAAAATGGTTTAAAACTTGTTTAAGTTCATGAATTGTCTGTGTCTTAATATTGGCCCTGTATTTTCGCATAGAGGGTATTTTTATGTCAGCAGAGAAATTAGTGCAAAAAAATCGTAGGGAATGCTAGCATACCTGATGCGTTGAGTCCTTTAGGATAATTATCGGATAAATCAATAATACATTGTATTATCTTTATTTGTAACTCAGTATTACAACAGGGATTGAAAATACATAACAGCACTGATTCCTAAATTTTATGCTTTCCCTGCTGAAGGTCACCTCTAAGTGGAGTTGCAGATGTCTGCTTTCGTTAGT